TACAGTATTAACGGGTTTTTTTTTCATACACTGACTGTACTATTAGTTTTTATTTTGTACAAACCCAAACACAAGTGCAAACTTTTTTTGGGTGCTTTATGTTTATTGGGCACAATATTTGATATTTACCTGTATTTTGTGACAATAAACATTATTATTATCTGCGAGAAACCATCAACAAGTTCCAAAATCTGCAGTTTGCCACGGTTTTCGGCCACAACTGTTTTGCTATTAGTCGGACCTTTTTTACGTGTGGTCTTATTTCGTAAATACCTACAGATCTTACAGGAAGAGTATTTTAGTTTCTGTTAACACTTTCGAAAAAAAGTTTTCCTACAAAAATTGGTGTACCCATTTTCGTCTGATATGATTAGACTATAACCCTAATCGTTATCCCATGATAATCTGATAGAAAAATCGTTCAGCGTACTGGCAGCTGTCTGTATTACTTTTCGGCATAATTGGATTGTATTCGCAATATGTGGAAATAATCGCCATTATGGAAAAGCGCAGGAAAAAGGGAGAGTGACTGGCAGTGTGCACGTTTTTATCTATATTTCGAATTCAGTGGTCAGCTGGTTTAATATGTTTTCATAGACAGTGAAATTGTTGATTGTGCAGAATAATAATCTGTGCAACGTAGCGGAATTTTGATATATCCCTCGAAAAATGGATTTTGTCATGCATTTCTATTTAATGTTGTATCGAAACTTATATTACGTACAATGTTATTTTGTTTGTTGAATATTTATTTTACATTAGTGCTACAATGTCAATTTTGTATAATTATTAGCTTACATATTTTTCTTCAATGCATTTTCTCTAATTTTACATTCTTGTTTATTAAAATTACATCACTATGCATTTTGAGTATCCATAAAGTGATTTTTTATTTCACCTTAAATATTTTTAAAATCGAACACTGTTTAATATCATTACTCAACTTATTAAATTCAAATACTCCGTTTTGAAATATAGATTTTCTAGTTAGCTACTATTACAATTTTGCAGATGATAATATATACCGCCTCTAGTTTCGTAATTATGATAATGACTATTTAATTTTGTGGAGTTTTCTGAATGTGGTGGTAATAAATGATTTTTTAATGTGAATATGAAAACGAGAACTAAATAACATATGAAATTTTTCACATTCAACCACTGTAGTTCTTCTAAGATAAACTTAATCCTAGCATATTTGTTTTTATTTAAAGTGATTCTCATAGCCTTATTTTGTGGAATTTGTAATTTTGAAAATATGTTTTCCAATACATTCTTCCTCATCTATACTTCTTCTCCAGTCTTCCACCATCTGATTACAGGTTCAAATATACTTTATACACGTTACTAAATATATCAACTATTGATTTGACAGGCTTCAGTATGCAACACTAAACATTGTAAAGTCCATAAAAAGAATTTCATCTCAAAAGCATTGCAGTTTCAGTAAACATAATCAATTCATTAAAACGATTATACCCACATCGTATATTATTGCAAAATTCACACACGTCTAGAAGGGAGATTTTTTTCTATAGAACCACCCGCTTGAATATTTTATAATACTCAAGTATCTGAGATTGTATAAAAATAACGGTAAAACGAGTTGAAGGTACCTGTTCACCACGAAATCCTATTTCAGGGTATATCAAATCTCGTTCAGGAAATAGAATAAATGCTGTAAGGATATAGCCATGACTATAAAATATCTCGAAATTTGCCTGTAAAACTTTATAGATGTCTTCTTATGAGTTCAATATAAGTTAGATATTCGAAAAGTGGCGAATTTTACAAAAACGTACCAAAATTGCGAACCTTGGGCTTTTAAAGAATAACCATGCATTAAAATAAAAAATAATTATAAAAGACTAAAATGCATATATGTATTATGGAACATTTCAATACAAAAATTTCATGGTTGCGATCAACATGATAGTTGGGTTATTTTGAGCGAAAAAAAACTCTCTTATGGACTCTGATTAGAAGTCAGTGTCACGAGCATAAAAATCAGAAAAAATACGAAGCTGCCTTGTTTACTCTTTTTCGCAATAGTTTTCTATCCGATCTGAGTGTTCTAAAATTTATTTTGTAGGCCAAGAAAATAAGTCGCATTCTGTTAGCAATAAAATATCTACACAAAAAAATACTACAGATATTTTTAGCTAATAAAAAGTGGATACGACACTTTATATACGTTTTCAGTACGTATTTTATCCCTTTAAAACATTGATTCCCAAAGTGGATATTATCGACCCCTAGGGGTCAGCGAAAAAAAATTTGGGGGTCCACGATAGTGGATCTCAACACATACACTGATAGTACCTATTTACTTACATCATACTATCTTATAATATCAAAACATATACATTATTTATAAAAGTACCTATGAAGTAAAAAAATTATTATATATGTTTATAAAATTGTGTAAGTTTTAGGATGTTGGTATTCGCTTTGTGGTCGTAATACATTTTGAACTTGTAAAAACCTGAGAGTAGCAGTCTCAGAGCTTCGCTACCTTGCACTGACTTGTTCAATTCGTCACTCTATAAATACGAATGTGGGACAAATACGTTTATTCGTTTCCTGAATCTTGAAAAGGAAAGTGCTAAGAAAATATTTTAAAAAATATAAACAGATAGTATATCACACAAATTATAGTGAGTCAGTGTTATTTTGTTTGAGAGTGCTTGTTTGTACTCGTAGTTAGCAAAGATAGATAAATTACGCCAATCATGACTTTAGTTATTAGTAGTTAAATATTCAATCATGCAAAATTACACGAGTACTCCTCAATAGTTTCTTTTTGAAAGTTTTAGCAATCGGTAATATAATTAGAGTGCAATCTCCGTAATTCGAGCTAATTGTTGCAAGAAGATGTTCGAATTATGGAATGTTTTCGGAAAAATCAAAAAATATTTTTAATATACAGCTGCTGGATTTTCTGTCTTATTTAAACAATTTAATTTTGCCCACAGATGACTGATGCCATGTCCGAATCTAAAAAGAAATGTAGACAGTACAGTGTTGATTATTTGAAATTTGGCTTCATTCCATCATTGCCGGACAAACAATCGCCTATGTGCCTTTTATGCAACAAAGTTTTGGGCAATGACGCTATGAAACCATCAAAACTGCAAGATCATCTGAGAAGATGCCACCCTCATAAATGAGTGAAAGATTTGAAATACTTTTAAACACTCAAAGATAAATTTCAGAAGAGACCTACACTGGACAGAATGTTCGCTTCGACGTCACAAAGAAATGATGATGGTTTGCGGGCGTCTTACAGTATCTCGTTACTTATAGCAAAATCCGGAAAACCGCATACTATCGGAGAGAAGTTAATTTTGCCAGCCGATGAAGAGGTTTTAAAAACTGTTTTACACAAACATGCATCTGATATCATTAAAAGAATTCCCTTAAGCAACAATACTGTTGAAAGACGTATTGATGAAATGAGTTCTGATATTGAAAGCTTCTTATGTAATTATTTGCAAACGAGCCATTTCTCTATACAACTGGACGAGTCAACTTTACCTGATAATGCAGCATTATTATTTTCATATGTTCGTTTTATTATGAATCAAGAAATCTACGAAGAACTGCTCTTCGCAAGAACTTTGATAACCGACACTAAAGGTGAATCAATATTTCATGTTTTGAAGGATTACTTCATTGAAAAAGCAATTCCTTTATCAAATATAATATCAGTAGCTACAGATGGAGCACCTGCCATGGTTGGACGTTATCGTGGATTTATAAGCTATTTAAAACAAAATGTGTCAGGGGTGTTAGCAATACATTGTGTCATCCATCGACAACATTTAGTTGCTAAAAATTTGAGTGTTAGATTGAATGAATCACTTCATTTAGTCATTGATGCAGTAAACCGAATCCGAAGCAACGCGTTGAATGCGCGGTTATTTACGCAGTTGTGAATAAAATGAACACTTTCATCAATTACTCCTTCACACTGAAGTACGCTGGCTGTCGAAAGGCTTATGTTTGACAAGATTTTTGAGACTATTTTAGAATTTCTGGATACTAAAGATAAAATTTTAAAAGAAATTTAAATGAAGAGGAAAACAGACATCGCCTATTTAACAGATTTTTTTACAAAATTTAATATGGTTAATTTGCAATTACAAGGCGACGGTTTAAATTTGATTAAAACAAAGTCCATCTTATCAGCGTTTCTTGCCAGAGTTAAACTAATGAAGCAAAATATTGGACGGGGCGAATTTTCTCAGTTCCCCAATTTGTCAGAGACAAGCTGCCAGGAAGACGACGTTTCAACTTACGTTCAACATTTATATGCCCTCTATTCAGATTTTGAATCTAGATTTGAGGATATTTTGACTATGGTAATACCACTGTGGATAATTAATCCATATGGTGACATAGAAGAAACGAATGTCATAATACAAGAGGAACTGGCTGAACTAAGTACAAACGAAGAACTTAAGGTTCAGTTCAAAAACGAATATCATCAATTCTGGCTGCAAAACAACATACCCGTTACTTATTCCGTATTATGGAATATAGCGAGGAAATTTTTAATTTTCCTTTCCTTTCCTCTTATTTTTTTTTCACTGCGGGCACCTATTGGTCAGACACCTGTTTATTTAATGTTACGTATATTTTACATAACAGATACAAAATTTTATTTTGAGTAGTTTTAATTTAAATTCAATTAATAAATGTATAAATTAACATGTGTTTTTACTTTAAGTTTTTAACACTAAACTTCACTACAGTTAGAAATTTACAGAAAATCAATATCAGGTAAGTAGGGGGTCTACCCAACACGGAAAAACATGGCAAGGGGTCTACGACACAAAAAAGTTTGGGGAACTCTGCTTTAAAATTACCCCTGAAATATTTTCTATGTAAAACCTCTGTCAAATGACTTGGACTACATTCTACAGATTTCAAGCTTTTTTATTTTCCATAGACCATTCCAAGGAGAACTTTCTTGTTTTTTACTTAAGGGTACTCACTTGGGGAGCAGTGTGGCGATAAGTCTCTGTGCTTCTTCCGGTGGCGGGGGGAAGTCATCGTCAACTTCGTCTCGTCCTCTAATTATGGCTTCCTGGTGTTCTTGCACAGCTCCGAACCCAGCTGCTGCTGCCGCCGCTGCGTATTTGTGTCTGTCCCTCTATAATTTAAAAATTATTGGAAATATTTCAACCACTCGATAAAAGAAATCTCAATTTGTCCACTGCGGTGGTGGAGAACGTATAACGTTGAAAAACAATGTCAATGTCGATTGCAAAACGTGCTTATAAATATACTAAGTGACATATAAATCCGAACACCCAGTTTAAATGGTTTTATTTTAATAAAATTTTGTATAAGTACTTAATGAAGCATAATAAGTAAATGATAAAAATTTCAAAATGATTGCACTGCTTTAAAGCCGTTTGGCCTTTAATAATGTGTGGATGCACCCTGATGTGCTACGCATTTTCCAACGCGCCTAGGCATGCTTCTGATCAGGTGGTCAATGTCCTCCTGTGGCATCTCATTCCAGGCAACCACCAACTCCTCTCGGAGTGCTTCTAGAGTCTGAGGAGGACGTTGCAAATTGAGCAATCGCCTACTCATCATATCCCACACGTGCTCAATTGGGGATAAGTCGGGAGATCTTGGTGGCCATGGTAACAATGTGAGATCATTATGTTGAAAGAAGTCTATTGTGACTCTTGCAACATGTGGTCGGGCATTATCTTGTTGGAAAGTTGGATCTGACAGGGTGTCAAGATAGGGTAAAAGATGGGTTCTAGAACTTCGTGGATATAATGCTGCGCGTTCATGTTACCTCTGATGAAGATTAAAGGTGACCTGGAACCATAAGCTATAGCACCCCAAACCATAACTCCAACAGTGTGATGAACATATCTTTCAACAAAAAACTGTGGATTCCTCCTTTCACCACGTCGCCTTCTAACCCTGGCACGACCATCGTGCATGCCTAAACAAAATCGAGACTCGTCACTAAAGACAATACTGTTCCATTCCTGATCCCAGAGTGACCGTTGTCTGCACCACTCAAGGCGATTACGTCGGTGTTCTCGAGTTAAAGGGAGGACCCAGTGTGGCCGGTATGAAAACCAGCCAAAACTTTTCATTCGTCGGTAAACACTTCGCATGCCAATAGGTCTTTCGTGTTCTGCAAACCATTCATTTGCAATGGACCTGGTAGTGGCCAATAATCTTAGGCGGCGATCTTCACGGTCTGTTGTTCTACGGCGGCGTCCAGTGCCCCTTGCTCTTTGCGTACGGCCTTCTCGAAGCCATGCCTGACAACACCTAACCACAGTGTCTATACTTCTTTGCACTCTAACTGCAATTGCCCGAAAAGAAAGTCCAGCTTCCCGAAGTCCCACTATACGGCCCCTATCAAACTCACTAAGTTGACGAAATCGTACAGGTCTCCGTACTCTAGGCATCGTAACCAATCGTAAAGGATGTCAAGAACCAAAAGCCGCCAACGTTGATTCTTTACTGCGGCTAAAATATTCATTTTTAGAGCGTTAGTGAATTAAAAAAAAGCAGTATAAAAACCGGAATGTCCAACTGATAAAGCTGAAAATTTTTTCACTTGTAATTTACAGTAAGATAAATACATTCACCAACTTTTATTAAAATAAAACCATTTAAACTGGGTGTTCGGATTTATATGTCACTTAGTATATTTTAAACCTTTAACACCCTGCTACATTTTTATTATTTGAGTTTGATAAGAAAAAAACTACGATTTCAATAGTTGGCCCAACTGAAGTAGGAAGGGGCTCGTATGACGTCAAACTAACACATATCAAATAAATCGCTCTTTTTTGGTAGAAAACTTTCAAATACATTTTATTGCCCGCAATACATGTATGTCTATCTTTCGACACTTTAGTCTTTATAGAAAACTTTGGACCTAAAAAAATCCCCGCAGATCGCAGAGGAGATTTTCACCACATTTGTAGTTCATACGGTTTAACTTTAGAGTGTCTTGATGATATTCTGGACAATATTTGATGTCGTCCGATTCCCTGATCACCAGCTTCCACCCCTTGCACCCAAGAATACAAGGCAGTATTACCCAGATGCTCTGCTAAACTGCCCGCGAGAACGATGAAAGGTTGTATTAGTAGCTTGAAGTCAATACCGAAAAATACACGCCAGTAGTCGGCCATGTTTCTAAGTAGAGCAAAGAAGCATAATTTGATCCATATAATAGAGCCCAATTTCGGTTTCCTCCAGCGGGTTACGCTTATGAAGGTTTCATAAAGATAGTTATTCGGATATCTAGCAATATTCTCCAGAAACCGGTCTTTCAACGTACCGGCAAAATCAGACAAAGCAATTTTCTCTTCAAAATAATTGCTAATTCATGTTTATGCGAAATAATGTGCAGAGAAGTTTGCTGTAGAGAGAATTTCACGGTAGACTTTCTCTTCCTTAATTAATTTATAAGTTTGTGAGAAGCATGATGCAATTATGTTATTCCTCTTGGATAGTTTCAAGCTTTATGTAGAATTAAAATTCCGAAACATTCATTCCATCCCGAAAATCTTCACAATTCTCATTTAAAAAATGAACTCATTCCAGATAGTTGGTTAATTCGTTGTATTTTTATGTTTCAAGTTACAGCAATCTGGAGATATTTCCTTAAGTTTGTAACCACGTTGCTGTTACTAATTTGGCCAGGGTGGCGCATCGAAAACGAAACAGACGCATTTACTGGTAGCTCAGTTTTTTTTTGAAAAACGCTCAGAACCGTCGATTTTGTTTTCGAGGGGGACATAAGTTTGGCAAAAAATCACGTTAGCACGTGCCGTCCCCTAAGCGGGGGTGACACCACCCCCAAAATCTTAAATGGAAAGGGGGGTCGAGTGATACCTCATTTTAAAGGTCTTTCAATTCCCTTTATAAAGATATAAAATTAATGTACTTGGGTTCAGTAGTTTTGAAGATTTATTGATTTAAAGCTTAAATAAAATTAATATACTAAGTGACATATAAATCCGAACACCCAGTTTAAATGGTTTTATTTTAATAAAAGTTGGTGTATGTATTAATCTTACTGTAAATAACAAGTGAAAAAATTTTCAGCCTTATCAGTTGGACATTCCGGTTTTTATACTGCTTTTTTTTAATTCACTAACGCTCTAAAAATGAATATTTCAGCCGCAGTAAAGAATCAAAGTTGGCGGATTTTGGTTCTTGACATCCTTTACGATCGGTTACGACGCCTAGAGTACGGAGACCTGTACGATTTCGTTAACTTAGTGAGTTTAATAGGGGCCGTATAGTGGGACTTCGGGAAGCTGGACTTTATTTTCGGGCAATTGCAGTTAGAGTGCAAAGCAGTGTAGACACTGTGGTTAGGTGTTGTCAGGCATGGCTTCGAGAAGGCCGTACGCAAAGAGCAAGAGGCACTGGACGCCGCCGTAGAACAACAGACCGTGAAGATCGCCGCCTAAGATTATTGGCCTTAAGGGACCGTTTCTCCACTACCAGGTCCATTGCAAATTAATGGTTTGCAGAACACGGAAGACCTATCGGCATGCGAAGTGTTTACCGACGAATGAGAAGTTTTGGCTTGTTTTCATACCGGCCACACTGGGTCTTCCCTTTAACTCGAGAACACCGACGTAATCGCCTTGAGTGGTGCAGACAACGGTCACTCTGGGATCAGGAATGGAACAGTATTGTCTTTAGTGACGAGTCTCGATTTTGTTTAGGCATGCACGATGGTCGTGTTAGGGTTAGAAGGCGACATGGTGAAAGGAGGAATCCACAGTTTTTTGTTGAAAGACATGTTCATCACACTGTTGGAGTTATGGTTTGGGGTGCTATAGCTTATGGTTCCAGGTTATCTTTAATCTTCATCAGAGGTAACATGAACGCGCAGCGTTATATCCACGAAGTTCTAGAACCCCATCTTTTACCCTATCTTGACACCCTGGCAGATCCAATTTCCCAACAAGATAATGCCCGACCACATGTTGCAAGAGTCACAATAGACTTCTTTCAACATAATGATGTCACATTGTTACGATGGCTACCAAGATCTCCCGACTTATGCCCAATTAAGCACGTGTGGGATATGATGGGTAGGAGATTGCTCAATTTGCAACGTCCTCCTCAGACTCTAGAAGCACTTCGAGAGGAGTTGGTGGTTGCCTGGAATGAGATACCACAGGAGGACATTGACCACCTGATCAGAAGCATGCCTAGGCGCGTTGGAGAATGCGTAGCACATCAGGGTGCATCCACACATTATTAAAGGTCAAAGGGCTTTAAAGCAGTGCAATCATTTTGAAATTTTTATCATTTACTTATTATGCTTCATTAAGTACTTATACAACATTTTATTAAAATAAAACCATTTAAACTGGGTGTTCGGATTTACATGTCACTTAGTATACATCATCATTAGTGGAGATCAATACATTTGGCAGCAAAGTAATTTAAAAATGAAGAATGAACTGACCCGTTAGGCAAGTAAATGTTGAAAATGGCCACCATGACTCTCCATGCAATAATAAAGATTTTGCTCAAATCGCTGCCGCACATTTTGCAATATGTGAGGAGTAATTTGAAGGCACTCATTCACAATTCTTTGTCGCAGGTCTTCTAATGATGCTGGCTGAGTACCATAGATTTTGCTTTTTAAATGACCCCACATAAAGAAATCTAAAGGTGATAAATCTGGCGATCTTGGGGGCCATTCAATGGCACCTCTTCTACCAATCCATCGATCTGGAAACGTCTGATCTAAATATTGTCTAACACATAATGCGTAATGTGGTGGGGCACCATCCTGTTGGAACATCAACCTATTCGCAATGTACCGCCGATCATTCTGATTTTCAATTATGGATGTTAATGCAGGATCTATGGCATCTTCCAGTAATTCCAAATACATTTCACCGTTTGAAATAGTAATTTGAGATTTTACAAAGGGTCATGCTTTTATAAGTTCTTTTCAGAAAAGGAAATCTAGCCCGATATGAGTTATGACCCGCCCTCCAGCATCATGGAAATGACCAATTTTGGTTCAAAATATCGAAAATAGGATCCTATCCCACAAATTTAAAGGCCTAAAATCGCATTTATATAGGGGATAGACTGCCCCATATTTCTTTGAAATATCTACTGAACTACTTATCATACCGCAATTTGGACTTCCTTGAACAATTTTATTTTGGAATAGTGATATGAGTCCTAATGTTTTCTAATGACAGCGAGCCGAAATTTCTAACTTTGAGCGCGTCTGTAGCCCGAACCGTTCGACCTAGGACCCTGAAATTTCACAAAGCCCCATGCCTCCATAGGTACTCTCCAGGAAATTGAAATCGATGTCAGAGATGACCCACCAAGCCAGGTAGCGGATTTTCAGTGATAGCCCCTATGCATTTCTTAGAAATCGATCAAAATCACATAGCACATCAACAACACCATCATGATCTTACCTGCCTTCTCCCATTCATACTCATGTATCCGTCGTCCTCCGACTGGTGTCCGGCACCCAAGGCACCGCCCACTCCAGGCGGCGAATCTTCGTCGGCAGAGGGCGTGGCCGCGTTAGAACCACCCACTGTAGGGGCGGCGCTCACGCACGTGGAGGCGGTCGATCGGATATGAGGGCTGGAAGTGGACGTGCTGATCTGGTGGATCTGGAATTTCAGGATGATCAAGTTCACTCTTATTTTATGGAACGCAAAATATGACAAGAGACTATCTTTTAGGTTGGTGTTCGTTCATGTTCATCCTTAGACTTTTATTCGTAAATAATAAATGATAAACAAAAGACTTTCACAGTTCATGCTGGCACAATAGATGTCAGATGGCTTGATAACTGAGGAAAAGTGTAGCAATCTGAGGAAAAATTGTTACGGTATCCTTTACCGGGAAGATTCAAATGCAAAATTCCGGGTACTTTTTTTACATAATGTATATTGGTATACTGAATTTTGGATATGGTATGAGTGTATCAATGTACACAGGGTGTAAACATTATTGAAATGGGTAATAGAGGGGGGTCATAACAAGTCAAAAAGTTCATATGACCGATGGTCCAAAAGTTAATAGATTTTTGTCTAAATGGCTTTATAGTTTACAACTTTAAGAGCTTTATATCGACCACAATCACCGCAATCTTACTAATTTTTATAATCTAATCTAAAACATTTTTAAAATGTGTAATTAATAAATAAATGGCATAAAGTTTTTCTAAGTTAAGTCAAAATTTGTAGTCAGTAAGTAAATTTCATTGAATTAAATGTTAAAAACACACATAACAACAGCGCGTCGTCATCACTCTTATCGGACCGGCAATCGATCGCAAACGGTAACAGTGGTTAGTTATCGGGCATCGGGCGTGTTTTGTTTTTGTTCGCGTACGTCGTCGTGTTTGTTTACAATGTTCTCGAATCAAGAGTTCGCAGACATGTTGTTAGTTTACGGTAAAGCTCAGAATTCAAATCTTGCAGCTCAAATTTATCGCGAGAGATTTCGCCAACGGGTACACCCAGACTTTTGGAACAGACCTTAGACAACATGCCATTACAAAGGATACAGAATTCTTCATGACGGGGCACCAACACACATTTTTAGAGGCATCATTGTGAATTTGAATGAACATTATCCAAATCGCTGGATTGGTCGAAATGCTTCTGATCCTCGAAACTGGTCAGCAAAGTCTCCTGACCTCAACCCGATGGATTTCTGGTATTGGGGAGAATTTAAAGGGATGGTTTATGGGGCTGGTCCAATAACAACTGAAGTACGACTTCGCGAAAAAAAATTTAATGCGGGTGAAATAAAAAATGGACAACTTCGAGGACCTAGAGTAAGAAGAAACTGGGTTCGTCGTAATGAAGCTTGTGTGGAAAGTGGAGGATTACATTTTGAACACCTTCTTTAAATACAACAAAAGTGCAGTGTGGGTTTTAGAAAGAAAAACAATGTATGTATCAAAATTGTGTTTCCTATTTATAAGTGGATTTTTTTAATACGTTCAATAAACTTTCACACACCAGGTGAAGCGCTGAGACAGTAGTGGTAAGTCCGTTTTTTTTAATTGTTTGCATTTTACGAGTACGAGCCAAAAATAACAAACTCCATCTTTATTTACACTGCATTCCGCCGTAATTTGCGTCTGGCATTGCGGCGTTGTCAGATTTTATTTTAGTTTAAAGACGCTTTTCTCTAAAAAAAAAAAAAATGCCGTTTTGACCCCCATGTTATATGAAACTTTTTGCTTCTTTTAGCCTCCTATATCACCCATTTAAATAATGACTATCATAACGTTTACACCCTGTATATATAACCTAGCTATGGATTTTTAGAGAGTTTGAAAACTATGATATCTTAAAAGCTAATATAATTTATAAAAAAACTTGTTGCATTACTATTTAGTGCCTCCAGCTTTAGTATTATAGCTGCGCAGTTCTCATACCAAAGTTGTTTGTTTTAAAACGAGAATAATAGGAAACACATATTTTTCGGGCGTCTTTTCCGGAAAATCACTTTACTTTGGTGGTGGATGCGTTTATACCCATCTGGTGCGTTTCATGATTCTTCAACTCGAATTGACAGCAGGTTCTCTCGAAAAATGGTTTCTAAGAAAAAAACCTGGGTTGTACTGTATAGAAGAGTGAAGTACTGAAATTTGTATTGACAAACAATTCCGCGTCAGCAGATTCGCATTACCAATGGATTTCCCGGAATTTATATATGTATATTTCTGTAAAAGAGGATGGAAATACCTTAAAACACGAGCATTAATTACGTAGGAAAACGGAGAGATTATACTTTTTCAGCGGATTTTGACGATGGGACATTTCCATATTATGATTTTCCCGCCAAAGACTGCGATTTATACCCTAACCATCCTTATGGATATGTATTGTATCCTCACTACGTTGTTGCTTCGGTATACAGGGTGATTCACAAGTCGTGACCAACACAGGACCGCATTTTAAGGGGTCTTCTATTTAACATTTTTTCCTCGAGGGTTCATTAAAAAGATACGGGGTCTTGAAGTTTGAAAATAAAAAACATTTTTTTTAAAATCTTCAAAACCGTCAACTGGATTGTACTGAAATTTGATATGTGGATTTACCTAAGTATTGTCCACATTCAAAAGTCTTTATTTAAAATTAACATGCGCCAGTGGCGGAGATACAGGCGATTAGTGGCATTATTTTTCCAGATAAAAATAGAAATAGTACGTCACTGTTTTTTTAAAAACGCACAATTTTTATAATTTTGCCTTCAATGTTCTACAAATAGTTACTCGTGTTTTTTCCTAGAGTGCATTGTTTTCGTAAAAATATAAAAATAAAAACAAATTCCACCATGATATTGTCATTACAGCAACTACAAAGTTGTAATTTGTAGCATTTTGCAAGTATTACGACTTCAACGAATTTTTCAGTTTTTAGTAAAAAGAACCTACATATATTATACTATTTTTGAAAGAGCATTCAATAGCTATTTTTAAGGTCATTTGCTGATTCAGTCTGGTACATTATTAAAACTTTAGTAAAGGTTTTCGCATTGAAACGAAATGTAATAATTTGTTTTTTAGCATACCGTGCTAGTTTTCAACGAAATAAATACTAGGTGGCAATATCTCGAAAACTAGTAAAATTTTAATAAAGACATGTTGATTTTATCTGACTGGTCTGAAGCCAACCTACCTCCCGTGTCACTCTGACGTGTTATTTCTAAGATACCATATAAGCTGTTTCAGAAGTTATAATTTTTCAGTTGATCTTTCATTTGATTTGATCTTAAAGAAGGTAGTACTTGTCTGAGACTTTTACTTTTACGTCTCTCAAACTAATGTAATAACATATATTTCTCCGAAGTCAAACAACTTTTCTTTATGCAAGAGTCAATCCCACTAACAATTACATGAGGCTTTATTTTATACTTTTATTATTTGCAAGCACCTACATGTATACGTATAGGTATGTTTAAAAGCTGATCACATAAAATTGAAAGAGCATCAGAAGGTTACTGTAAAACCTGAAAAAACTTTAATAATCTCTGAAACATTTGGCAGAAATATCATAAATCCGCAGTTTACATGTATCGTGTTCTGCATGGAAGTGTGATTTACCGATTATATACTAAGTGACATATAAATCCGAACACCCTGTTTAAATGGTTTTATTTTAATAAAATTTTGTATAAGTACTTAATGAAGCATAATAAGTAAATGATAAAAATTTCAAAATGATTGCACTGCTTTAAAGCCCGTTGACCTTTAATAATGTGTGGATGCACCCTGATGTGCTACGCATTCTCCAACGCGCCTAGGCATGCTTCTGATCAGGTGGTCAATGTCCTCCTGTGGTATCTCATTCCAGGCAACCACCAACTCCTCTCGAAGTGCTTCTAGAGTCTGAGGAGGACGTTGCAAATTGAGCAATCTCCTACCCATCATATCCCACACGTGCTCAATTGCGGATAAGTTGGGAGATCTTGGTGGTCATGGTAACAATGTGACATCATTATGTTGAAAGAAGTCTATTGTGACTCTTGCAACATGTGGTCGGGCATTATCTTGTTGGAAAGTTGGATCTGCCAGGGTGTCAAGGTAGGGTAAAAGATGGGGTTCTAGAACTTCGTGGATATAACGCTTCGCGTTCATGTTACCTCTGATGAAGATTAAAGGTGACCTGGATCCATAAGCTATAGCACCCCAAACCATAACTCCAACAACGTGATGAACATGTCTTTCAACAAAAAACTGTGGATTCCTCCTTTCACCACGTCGCCTTCTAACCCTGGCACGACCATCGTGCATGCCTAAACCAAAATCGAGACTCGTCACTAAAGACAATACTGTTCCATTCCTGATCCCAGAGTGACCATTGTCTGCACCACTGAAGGCGATTACGTCGGTGTTCTCGAGTTAAAGGGAGGACCCAGTGTGGCCGGTATGAAAACAAGCCAAAACTTCTCATTCGTCGGTAAATACTTCGCATGCCAATAGGTCTTCCGTGTTCTGCAAACCATTCATTTGCAATGGACCTGGTAGTGGAGAAACGGTCCCTTAAGGCCAATAATCTTAGGCGGCGATCTTCACGGTCTGTTGTTCTACGGCGGCGTCCAGTGCCCCTTGCTCTTTGCGTACGGCCTTCTCGAAGCCATGCCTGACAACACCTAACCACAGTGTCTACATTTCTTTGCACTCTAACTGCAATTGCCCGAAAAGAAAGTCCAGCTTCACGAAGTCCCACTATACGGCCCCTATCAAACTCACTAAGTTGACGAAATCGTACAGGTCTCCGTACTCTAGGCATCGTAACCGATCGTAAAGGATGTCAAGAACCAAAATCCGCCAACGTTGATTCTTTACTGCGGCTGAAATATTCATTTTTAGAGCGTTGGTGAATTAAAAAAAAAGCAGTATAAAAACAGGAATGTCCAACTGATAAGGCTGAAAATTTTTTCACTTGTTATTTACAGTAAGATTAAATACATTCACCAACTTTTATTAAAATAAAACCATTTAAACTGGGTGTTTGGATTTATATGTCACTTAGTATATTTATTTGCGAAAATCTATTATCGCTCACCACCTTGTACAAGTGATTAAATCTCGAACCTATTTTAGGCTAGTACGTGGTAAGAACAGCTAACTGCATTCAAAAAGCCATTAGTTGAAGATTTCCGCAATACCGAGTACACAGACCGCTCCTACATTATCCAGCAGCAAATCGCAACTGAAACAAAACCTAAAAGCAAACACCGGAATAATGACAACGCACAACGGCACGGCGGTATAACATGACAAACATGACAGCGCAGCACACGCATGCATTCCCCGTCTAATAACAGTGTATCACGAATCACGGCCGGAAACCATAATCGATAGCGATATCATACTCACGTTCTGCACTTGATTGGCATTTTCCACATCGTCGAACTCCGAGAGCACCCTATCCAGTAATTCGATTGAGCGTTGGACATCGTCTCCAGCGCCGCTGCTGCAACAACAATAAAAAACAAGTTAGAAAAATTGCATTTTTCTCGCGTATCAACATATACCAATTTGGAATTGAAATTCAAATGCAATGCTATTAATTGTACCAAAAAACCTAACGCCCCCCCCTAGACGAGGTTTCGGTATGACCTGGCGGACACAGCGCTGAAAACAAAATTCCAAACATCCTTTGTTATGCAGATCATCCAAATTGAGTTTGATGAACAAAGCTCCACTATACAAAATAAGTATTAGACCAGCTATTACTTATGCATGTGCGTCTTGATGTTTTTTTGCACACACCTGCAAAGGCTTCAAGTACTGCAAAGCAGGACCTTACGAACAATTTATTTATTTTAGATCTGTTTTTTCTTCAATCTTGATTTTTTTTTAATAAGCCTTTAGTATCTAGTGGTTTATCGAATGTTGATTCGTATTTTTTCAACATCTTCTCCAAGCCATCGTCCTTTCTCATTTTTATTTTTGGAACTTGTGACTTGCAAAATAATGGGATCAACGGCAATTCCATCTGCGATGAACTGCAGGTCGTTGCCATTATTTTCTATAGTTTCATCATCACGGGGATGTCATGCTTATCAATTTGATAAAAAACTGTATCCAGTAAAAATACGGAACGGTCTGTGTAAGCTCTGGAGTACAACTGTCTGTGATGCTGAGTGAACGAACTCCCACGTCAACTACAAGCTGGAACAAGTCAGGACATGTCGCTCAAGATACAAATACCAGTCAACCTTTTACTTCTTCTTGGAGGATATCCTCGCGAGTATAAGGTAATCATTATGAATATGAAAACAAGGATATGCTTCTACTTCTACCGTTTTCTCCGAAGCAAGACCTTATATTTTTACCTTATGCTTCCGAGGATATGCTTCTCTTTTATGAATCCGGCTCATTATGATAATCAACTGTTACTTATAGCATGATAATTTGCAGTCTTCCTGGTATGCATACAGGGTACCCAGAATGAGGTAGCAATCTCTTAGATGCATGTAGGAAACAAAAAATAATGACATCAATTCATGCATAAAAATGATCTACGGCGCTAAAGAGCGCTACTGAGAAACTCTTTTTCGCAAATAACTTTTGAATAACGATGTTGATGTTGACAAACATTTTGACAGCGTAGTAACCAATTGGGCTTCAAATGAAAAAATAATCTCATTTACATCTAAACAGACGGACTAGCCTTGACGTAATGTTTATGATTTTTTTACGCCCTGTATGTATAAAGGTCCAAAAACAAATACTTCCTTAAAATGGAGAAACGAATCCCCGTTTCATTTAAATAAAAACAGTCTTCTTTTTGAGAAAATCCAGGATATTAGGATACTCTGCAAAAAATGCGTGTAAAATCACATTCTATGTCATGTAAATATTTCCCTTACATATTTATAATATTTTGTTTTTACAAGTGTATTGTGCTAATGGCTCATAGCAACAAAGCAATGCTTTGGTTTGGCTTTCACCTTTTTTTCAATTGCTTGCTTTTATTACTGTCACTGAGCTTCAAAATAAAGTTTTTTCCATGTACTGCGACTGATTTTATTCCTATTAAAATTCAATAGCGACAACGCCTGTTCAGTATACCCATTTGGAGGCAAATTCGTATTGTAGTAATTTGAGGGAAGGTTTTTAATTGTTTTTCTATTTTATACGGTCATTATATGGTGCTCGTGTTAGTTCAGTTATCTTTTGTAGTACAAAGGCATTTCATATAGGAGTTTGTTAGAAAAAGCTATAAAACTTACCCCTATAAACTGCAACAGCTAGAATTACTTATACTAGAGTGGACACACGTTATAATGTAATTCCTAACAAGCAATTAAAGGAGCTTTTTAATGATATGAACTACCTTTTGGACCTGGGATGTCCTGTACAATAAACTGCAAACTGCATAACATTATATAAATAGATAATCAAGATATATATAATATGATGACATATCAAGTAAAAACGAAATAATATATTATGGGATATCACGAATCATGACTGCAATCGCATAACATGTACTTGAATACATAACGAATTCTGGATAGTTCATATTACGTATAATATATATATATATATATTTTGGTTATAAAATTACCTACGATAAGTTATGTATTATTTTTTCCAGAGTACCCATAATATCATTGTTTTTTGAAAGCCGTGATCACGTCACAGTTATAAATCACTGATATCTAAAAATAACGATATCATTTATCATAGATAGATATTCAAAAATATCAATATCGGCCATCTGTACCGAGGGGGAACTGAATCGATCACCGCGTACGCTATGGGGTGTTTTGAGATCCCATGTATATCAGATGTAGACCAACAACCAGAAAAAATTGCAAACATAAGGCCTTTTATGCTGGCAAGAATTATGACCAGCGCCACACAAATCGCTCTAGGCAGAAAATGGGGACATCACATATCTGATTTGATCTTCAAACCGACGTAACACAAAATTTTAGGCACGAGTCTACATTATAGCAAAGCAAATGTTTTGATTTATACAATTCATTCTATTAAGTTTTGAAAAAAGGAGGTTATGCTACCGCATCACGTATGTAAGAAATCCATAGGCCACGCTTCCACCATTTTTGGCATATGTATTTTCTATAGCACATTCACCATTCTTTATAATCTGTCGATCCGACCGGCGAGCGCTGATCATTATTTAATAAAAAAAAAAGATTAATAAAAGCTCCTCAGAATATCAATTAGGCATTTAATCATGAGAAAAAAAATTAAGTCGAGGTATTGAGAGATGGATTTTTCGACACAAGAGTTTTTTTTTGCGTAATCACAAAATTACCAAGCTTAAAATATTCAACATGATGTTTCTCTATCGAAATCTTATAAATTGAAAAAATAGATCTATACAGATCTATACAGATATATTTTTCCACTAAGATTCATCTTCTCTACTGATTTTTCTGAGACCCATTGTCGTTTAAGAACTTCAGTAATCGTAACCGTCTGATATACAGCGATTTCTACTTATTTTATGAACAGGTCAAGTTAGCAAGCTGTATTTTGCGAAGCATGAATACTACGAGCCCTGTCTCAGTGAAGTTGGCCCAAAGTCCCAAAACACGATATTTAATTAAAATTTTATTTCAAATATAATCATTTTGGTTTCTTTAAATGTTTATGGAAATATAACAAGACCAACGCTTCTATTTTTAAGCATTTTTATTTTGAAATTGTCTTCTTTGCAAAACGATTTGTGTATAGCAAAATACATGATGGAGACAACTTAAGCTTAATGGTCTGTTTATTGGCTTCGATAACATAAAGGTACGCTTTGAAAAACAAATTATAACATTTTACGTTGCTAAGAAGCTGATTTTCGACGTTTAAATCAACGTTCAATGCATTGGTGTTGTTGTTAACAATTAAAAATGGCTCGTGATAAAGCTACTCCTGACGAAATAAGAAAAGTGATCATTCACTTGCATTTAAAAGGCCAAAATGCTCTCAAAATCATTGACAGTGTTAACAAATCGAGGTATACAGTTCGAAATATTATTAAATTGTACAAAACACCGAGATCTGTGGCTCAAAAACCCAGAACTGGAAGTCGCCCGCGTTATTTCAATATCAACTTAAGAGCCTTAAAACCGATTATGAAGGAAAAGTGGCATGCTAATTACAGCGAATTGAAAATATTATGGAATCACGCAACTTTAGAAAAGTTTTCAAGAGCAATTTTCCAGAGAGCTGCCTAAAAACTGGGATGTAGAACCTACAAGGTAGGCTTAAATTATTTTTTTATTATTCGTTTTTAATTAAGTATTACCACACTAGAATTTCATATCGCGTTACTGGACCTATATTTGTATGTTTTTTTTTTTAGAATTATATCCTGAAGGTTGGCTAGGTACTTAATCAACACCCTGTATATCCTTTCAATTACTCAGCTAGAGCACGATTCATATGTGTTACAATAAGGAATGTTTCGTGAATATCATTTTATGAACTTATTTAGTTCAATTGTATAAATAATCGTTTGTTTATTATACGAACATCGCTAAACAAAAGCGTGACAAGAATGATGAGACTGCTAACGAATTCTCAAGGTATTCATTTCACGAATCACACATTTACTCATGTTTACTGCTCATTTGAATAGAAGTGCTAATAGTATGTATGGAGAGACATGTCTACGTGAAACTGTTTGCATATTTAAAAAATTAAACAATACACAATTCTCGCTGCCGTATTTCACAATAATGGGAGAAGAAATCCGTACCCTATCATTATAAATCTCGGTAATTTGACACTATCACGAAAACATACAAGAACGAAAGTAATGCGAATATGAAATAAAGACAAAAGAAAGCGATTCAAAATATGAGGTTTCATTTCTTTCATATGATTGTATAATTTGAATGGCGTGACGTCTGGTCATTTCCCTTGGTTTTAATACCGTTATTAGAATGATGGTACCAGGGCACGATCTTATTAAGACTTCTGCAGTAAATATGAGACTGTCTATAACCTTGAATTAATGTGTTACTTACACAGGGTGCTTCAGTTTATTGTTGCATAACTTTAAGATTCGTAGGAACTTTAGAAATTAATGCATAAAGTCTATATAAACATGGGTAGAAAAATGCGTGGCTTCCGAAATACAGGGTGTTTAAATTTACTTTCTAAAATAGTTTTTTTTAAATATTTCGAACAATATTTGATGTATAACAGTGAAAATTGGTATACAAGGGTTTTTTGGTACGACAAAACGAACGCAT